TGGTTCAGGTTTAGTTTGGGACAGTTTGACGTGGTTCAGGATTAGTTTGGGTCAGTTTGGACTGGTTCAGGTTCAGTTTGTGTCAATTTGGACTGGTTCAGGATTAGTTTTGGTCAGTTTGGACTGGTTCAGGATTAGTTTTGGTCAGTTTGGACTGGTCCAGGTTCAGTTTGTGTCAGTTTGAAGTGGTTCAGGATTAGTTTTGGTCAGTTTGGACTGGTTCAGGTTCAGTTTGTGTTAGTTTGGAGTGGTTCAGGATTAGTTTGGGTCAGTTTGAAGTGGTTCAGGATTAGTTTGGGTCAGTTTGAAGTGGTTCAGGTTCAGTTTGTGTTAGTTTGGAGTGGTTCAGGATTAGTTTGGGTCAGTTTGAAGTGGTTCAGGATTAGTTTGGGTCAGTTTGGAGTGGTTCAGGATTAGTTTGGGTCAGTTTGAAGTGGTTCAGGATTAGTTTTGGTCAGTTTGGACTGGTTCAGGTTCAGTTTGTGTTAGTTTGGAGTGGTTCAGGATTAGTTTGGGTCAGTTTGAAGTGGTTCAGGATTAGTTTGGGTCAGTTTGGAGTGGTTCAGGATTAGTTTGGGTCAGTTTGAAGTGGTTCAGGATTAGTTTGRGTCAGTTTGAAGTGGTTCAGGATTAGTTTGGGTCAGTTTGAAGTGGTTCTGTCTGTAATATTTCCTTTGTGTGCCCTCAGGGTGACCCTCAGACGTTCCTACATCAGAGTGAGGAAAGATAAATCTAACAGACTCTCTGTTGGCAGCAGGTGRGTCCATGATGAACAAATCCAGAACTTTGCTCCATTTTGACTAGAAAATGTCCTTAAACTGATTTTTGATTGTTTCTTGTCCCAATGTTGTCCTCTGTCCTCAGAGAGCCGTCTGATAGTCCGTCTCGCTCTTCTGGATCCTTCGTCTCCTTCTCCTGGTTCACTGAAAGTCGAGGATCATTCTCGTCCTCTGGGACTCCTCCTTGCTCCCCTAAAATCCCCCCACTGGGCCCCCAGAGGCCCCGCAAGTCCCGCTCCCAGGTCCTCTGAGTTTTTAATTTAAATTTTCCAGGTTTTTATTAGAAACCTAGAAAACAAAATTTCTAAAGTTTTATAAACAAAATGTGTCGGTAAGTCAAATTAATGTTATACGTCAGATGATATAAAAATTAAAACTACACTGAAACTTATGAACTGATTTTATATGGACTGATTCTGGCCCTTTAAAGCCTGACCCTTTAAAAACAGTCAGAAAACTCACATTTTTTAGAACTGATATTTAAACAAATCCCCCCAATTTTTTTTTGTCACATCACTTTGTTTATGATATRTTTTTTGTATCAAATCTGATACACTGGGCTGTTTTGGTAACATTTTTCTCACAACAAAGTTAAATTAAGAAACAAAAAACAGGTTTGCCCAGAACTGTTAACAAGTTTAGAACACTCTAGGAAGTTTAATTCTTTGTTGTTGTTTTTTACAATGAACTTTTTACAGCCATTTATTTCACTTCATAAACAGTTTCTGTCCTTGTTCAGGCACAGATGTACCTTAAACTTTTTAAAAAATGCCATCTATTATCATATTGATGACACTTTATTACTTTCTTTTTTCTCTCTTCTTCCTCAATTTTCTTTGACATCTAACACGTAAATATTTAGTCAGTACAGCGTAGAGATTATAATTAGGAACCACTTTGAAAATAGCCAAAATGTGTTTTCAAATG